ATTTACTAAAAACTGAAACATTTTTATTTTTTTCTCAAGTTGGTCGTGTTTGAAAGCTTGTAGTGCAACTAGATGTTTGAAACTTAACTTTTCTGAAAGTTTAGGTCCTTCTCTATGATTTTGATCCACACTTCTTTCTAGTTGGATTAATAGTTTAGAAAATTTGTTTAAAATTTGGAAAATGTTGTAAAAGCTGAAAATTTTTATTTTTTTCTCAATGTGGTCAAGTTTGAAAGCTTGTCTGACAGCTTGTGGTGCAACTAAATGTTTGAAACATAGCTTTTTAAAAAGCTTAGGTCCTCCTCTATGATTTTCATCTACATTACTTTCTAGTTGGATCAATAGTTTAGAAAATTGTTTAAAATTTGTAAAAGCTGAAAAATTTTCATTTTTTTTAAGGTAGTCAAGTTTGAAATCTTGTATGACAGCGGGTATTGCAACTAGATGTTTGAAACTTAAGTTTCTGAAAAGCTTAGGTCCTCCTCTATGATTATGATCTACATCTATTGAAATTTGTAGAAATAAGTAAAAGCTGAAATTTTTTCTCAAAGTGCTGATGTTTGAAAGCTTGTATGACAGCTTGTATTGCAACTAGATGTTTGAAACATAACTTTTTGAAAAGCTTAGCCCCTCCACTATGACTTTTATCTATATTATTTTCTAATAGGACTTATTGTTTATAAGATCTGCTGCTATCTTTGTAAAATTGAAAAATTCTTAAATTTGCTAACATATTTTTGTGATAAAACATGTTTGATGCCCTCTAGCTCATACTGTATGAGGTCTAGGAGGGCTAAAAGTGTAATATTCTGAAAGCTTAAAATCTTCTCTAAGATTTTTCTATATATGGTCTTGCAATCCCTGCTATATTTTAGAACTTATCTTACCCACTGTACTTTAGTATATTCTAAAGTTGTTTTAGCTTAATTTATTGTTGCTTACTTGGTTTTTTTTCTATACAATTATAGCCTTTATTATTGTTATTATTGGTTAATAATGTTGTTTTTGTTGTTGTTGTTGCTGCTGCTGTTATTTTCTTTTTGACTAAACAAGTCTACGAAAAAAAAATTCTGTTTTTTTTCTGCTGTTAATGTTAAAGAGTAGAACGCAACCTGACGTGACGTGATTTGCCGCCTGAAAAACTTGTTTGAGAACAGATTGTATTTTATTATAGAATTTTGTTTTTGTAATTTTCATTCTAAATAACATAATCATATGTATTAATAAGGTATTTTTTTTATTTATCTTTTTTTCATACTATTATGAACAAGTAGTAAAATTATTTACAATTTTTCTGAATTTTTTGGTTGGTTGAGTAAAAAAATAATTTTGTTTTTCTTTGTCGCCTGTCGTTTTAACGTTGTGTAGAGTCAATTATAATAATGCGATGTCTGTCTGTCATCGTTAATGACCATCATAGAGGAATTGTCATATAATTTACGTATAAGTATGAGCAATGTACTTAATAAATACAACAATGTTTGTATGTACATATGTATGTATGTGTGATATAGTATGTTGTATTAGTAATGTTGTGTTTTTTTTATTATAGTTATTCATAATTTTGTTGTTTTATTTTCAGTTTCTTATTCTTGTTCTTCTTTCGTTGAAGCCATTATTAAAAACAGTGTTGTATTTATGTTCTATATGTACATAAGTATGTCTTTCTAATATTATTGTTGTCATTGTTGTTGGCTTTTTATTCATTCCATCAATCTCTTCTTCCGCCCTTTTGCTTTCGACTGACAAACTGTCTGTCTTTCGCTTTTTTTTTGTATTTTTTAATTATTGTGTGAAATTATGTGTCTTTTTACGATTTACACTTAGAATTTGTTAAACTAGGTTTAGACAATTTCCTGTTAACTTTATAATAATAGAAAATTAGTTTTTAATTGAGAGTTTTTAAAGAACATTTTCTCTCAGTGTGTTTTTTCCCCTCTATACAGGTGTTTTGAAATTTTGACTAGGTTTTTTTACTATATAAACATGGTAATGTAACCAAATTATTAGTCTGTTTAGAAAACACTATTGGAGAGAAGAGGACTTAAGCTTTCTGAAAATGTATGTTTGAGTCACCCTGTTCTGATACAGCATGAGCTACAGGCTGTCAAACATGAGCACTTTGAATATTAAAACTTCTTTTATAACTTTTCTAAAATTAATATAGATTTTCTAAAATATTGGATCGATTGCCGGACAATGTTGGTGGAAATCATAGACAAGCTCTTAAGCTTTCAGAAAATCAATATTTTTTTCACCCTGTCCAAATACAAGGTTTTCTATAGGGTGTCAAACATGCGCACCTCAAATATGTAAATATCTTTCATAAATTTTATAAATGTACAGAGCTTTTCTATAATATAGGACCGATTACCGGACAATGTAGTTGGAAATCATAGAGAAGGTCTTGAGTTTTCAGAAAATTAAAAATTGTTTCAACATGTCCAACTACAGGGTGATTTGCAGCATGTCAAACATGAGCGCCGCTTTTGATAAATTTTATAAATGTATGGATATTTTTTAAAATATTGGACTTGGATTAACAGACAATGTAGGTGGTAATCATAGAGAAGGTATCAAGCTTTTAAAAAATGTATGTTTGAGTCACCCTGTTCAAATACAGCGTGAGACACAGGGCGTCTAATAAGAGCAACTCAAATATGGGAACCTCTTTTATAGCACTTATAAATGTACGAAGATTTTCTATAATATTGGACCAATTGCCACACAATGTCGTTGAAAATCATAGAGAAGGTCTTAAGCTTTAAGAAAATTAAACTTTGAGTCAACCTGTTGAAATAAACGATGAGCTACAGGGTGTCAAACTCAAAAATCGCTAAAATTAAAAACATTGTTTTAAATTTTAACTACAATGTACATATTTTGTAGAATATTCAAACGATTGTTAAACAATGTTAGTGAAAATAATAGAGGAGGTCTGTAGCTTTCAGAAAATTTAACTTGGAGTCACCCTGTTTATATATAAATTAATTTATAGGACATCAAACATGTAAATCTCAAAAATAAAAAACATTTTTGTAACTTTTACAAACATTTACCAACTTTTTTAAAATTTTTAGTTCAAAGGCTAAATAATGTTAGCAAACATTATAGAAAAGGACCTAAGCTTTCAGAAAATTCCACTCTGAGTCACCCCGTTGAAATACAAAGTGAACTACAGCAAGTCAAACATGAGCCTCTCAAATATAAACAAATTTTTTTGGAATAATTTTAAAATTACATAGATTTTCTAAACTATTAGTTTAATAGCAAAATAATGTTAATAGAAAACATACAGCAGGACCTAAGCTTTATAAATATATTACTTTGAGTCACCCTGTTTAAATATTAGGAGAGCTACAGGTTGTCAAACATGACTTTCTCAAAAAAGAAAAATAATATAAAACACTTGTTTGAAACTTTTACAACTATCGTTCGATTTTTTGAATTATTAACCCGATTAATAAATAATGTTTGTTAACATTCTAGAGTTCTTTAGCTTTCAGAAAAGTTAACTTTTATTTATCAATTTGACGTTCAGTAAAAGCTTTAGCCATACAAAGTTCAACACTTCAAGTGTAAAAAACTACATACTTTTCATATTGTAGTTTAACAAAAATGCCCAAAATTGCTATAGTTTTCGATGGATAAATTAAGAATTGTATCTCTAGATCATAGGGATGGACCTAAGCTTTCGTTAAATTAAACTTTCCCCTGCCTGTTTGCAATAAAGTTGAAGCTTTTAATGATGATCTTAAATTTTAACTACTTTTTTCTTACTTTTATAAATGTTAGCAGATTTTCTAAACTATTGGTTGTAGTGCCAAAAAATTTAGGTACGAATCTTAGATGAGGACTTAAGCTTTCAGAAAACATAACTTTTAATGTATTAGTTAGTATACAGAGAGAGTTACAGTCTTTGAAAGTGGATTGCCTCTAGTACTAAATTTTTTTTAGCAGTTTCGGCACATTTTACAACTGTTTATATATTTCCTAAACTATAGTTCCAATTGCAATGCAATTAAGATAAAGGTTGTAGAGGAGGTGTTAAGCTTTCAGAAAATATGAATTTCAGCTACATAGGTGGCGTACAAGGTGAACTATAGTAAGGCAAAGTCAGGCACCTCCAATGTAAAAAAATATTTGGGAAAGAAATTTGTGTTATCTCTCCTCTCTTTCATTGTTTACATTTTTGGAAAATATACAACTCTGTGAGAAAAACAGGGATGTCAGCTTTATACTTAAATAAACCAATCTAGCGATTTTTAGCTTTTGTTTGCAAAATTTAGATAAGAATCTAAAGAACTAAACTATTTTTAATATTTAAACTTAAAACACATTCTAAAACATGTTTAAAAGTGAAAAAAATCCATTTGTAGTGTAAAAAACCAATTCGTTTTTGTCTGCTTTTGAAAAATATAATTAACTTTTGACTGGGTTTTTTTTCTTCTTCTCTACCAAGTTCTTCTATCAACCTGAGTGTCTGTTAACTTGGCTTGTTAAGCGCTTTTTTAGAGGTTGTTTTCATAAGTGTGTGTTTTTTGTTATTTGAGTATTTCAGTTTAAAGTCGCGCACAAAGAATTTGAGTCTCAGAAATCACGCTTTGAATAAATTGTTTTTTTTTTATATTTTCATATATTTTTGTTGATTTTTTTTTTTTTTGTATGTCTTGACTGTTTTTTTCTGTGATACCAAATTAAACATTAACCTGTTTTGTTTTTAAGACCGGTTTAAACTTATATAGATTCTTATTGTTAAAAAAAAACTTTTATTTATACGAAAATGAACACAAAATAATAATAATAAAAAAACTTTGCTTAATCATCATTATGAAACTCTTCATTTTTCAACAACAAACTATGGAATTTTTGTTAACAAAAGTTCTTAAAAACAACTAATTTAACTTAAAATCAAAACGCAAAAACAAGTAAATTGTGGCCTTAAAATTATGCCAAAAAAATCTTCCAAAAATAACTAAAAATCCTCATTTTCCCTTTAGCACTTTTTTTTGTACATCAACTCCCAAATCCCCCACAAAACGCTTTTATACTTTTCCAAGAAAAAAAAGTATAAAACAAAAAATTTCTCTCCAAAACCTGTTTCCAAATGATGAAACGACGTTGGTCTAACAATGGCGGTTTTGCCGCTTTAAAAATGTTAGAAGAATCCTCCTCAGAAGTAACCTCCTCCTCAAATGGTCTGGTCTTGTCATCGGATATAAATATGTCTCCCTCGTCGTTGGATTCACCCGTTTATGGTGATCAGGAAATGTGGCTGTGTAACGATTCAGCTTCATACAATAACAGTCATCAGCATAGTGTTATTACCTCGCTGCAGGGCTGCACTTCATCATTACCGGCCCAAACTACCATAATACCTCTGTCAGCTTTACCCAATTCCAATAATGCCTCCTTGAATAATCAAAATCAAAATTATCAAAATGGTAATTCCATGAATACAAATTTATCGGGCAACACAAATAACAGTGGTGGTGGTGGAGGAGGAGGAGGAGGTAGTGGTGGCGGCATTGTACCCGGCATGACCTCACTCAATGGCCTGGGCGGTGGTGGTGGTGGCAGTCAAGTGAATAATCACAATCACAGTCACAACCATTTACACCACAACAGCAACAGTAACCACAGTAATAGCAGTTCGCACCACACAAATGGCCACTTGGGTATGGGTGGTGGCGGCTTATCGGTTAATATTAATGGTCCCAATATCGTTAGCAATGCCCAACAGTTAAACTCGTTACAGGCCTCTCAAAATGGCCAGGTTATTCATGCCAATATTGGCATACACAGTATCATCAGTAATGGATTAAATCATCATCACCATCATCATATGAATAACAGTAGTATGATGCATCATACACCCAGATCTGAATCAGCTAATTCCATATCATCAGGTGAGTTAAAGTGACGAATTTGGAAATAGTTATTAGTTTTAAGGAAATTGGAGGAGTATTTCTGTATCTAAATATCAGTATTGAATATTGAGCATTATTACGTCTGTTTCAATCAAACCTATTGTGGATCAGCTAGATCACTTTAGTTTAGCTCAGTTCTAGTTCGGTCTTAGTTCTATTCAAGTTCTGTTTTAGTTCAGTTCTAGTTCAGTTCTAGTTCAGTTCTAGTTCAGTTCTAGTTCAGTTCTAGTTCAGTTCTAGTTCAGTTCTAGTTCAGTTCTAGTTCAGTTCTAGTTCAGTTTTAGTTCAGTTTTAGTTCAGTTCTAGTTCAGTTCTAGTTCAGTTCTAGTTCAGTTCTAGTTCAGTTCTAGTTCAGTTCTAGTTCAGTTCTAGTTCAGTTCTAGTTCAGTTCTATTTCAGTTGTAGTTCAGTTCTAGTTCAGTTCTAGCTCAGTTCTAGCTCAGTTCTAGTTCAGTTCCAGTTCAGTTCTTGTTCAGTTCTTGTTCAGTTTTAGTTCAGTTCTAGTTCAGTTCTAGTTCAGTTTCAGTTCAGTTCTAGTTCAGTTCTAGTTCAGTTCTAGTTCAGTTCTTGTTCAGTTCTAGTTCAGTTCTAGTTCAGTTCTAGTTCAGTTCTAGTTCAGTTCTAGTTCAGTTCTAGTTCAGTTCTAGTTCAGTTCTAGTTCAGTTCTAGTTCAGTTCTAGTTCAGTTCTAGTTCAGTTCTAGTTCAGTTCTAGTTCAGTTCAGTTCTAGTTCAGTTCTAGTTCAGTTCTAGTTCAGTTCTAGTTCAGTTCTAGTTCAGTTCTAGTTCAGTTCTAGTTCAGTTCTAGTTCAGTTCTAGTTCAGTCCTAGTTCAGTTCTAGTTCAATTCTAGTTCAGTTCTAGTTCAGTTCTAGTTCAGTTCTATTTCAGTTGTAGTTCAGTTGTAGTTTAGTTGTAGTTCAGTTCTAGTTCAGTTCTAGTTCGGTTCTAGTTCGGTTCTAGTTCAGTTCTAGTTCAGTTCTAGTTCAGTTCTAGTTCAGTTCTAGTTCAGTTCTAGTTCAGTTCTAGTTCAGTTCTAGTTCAGTTCTAGTTCAGTTCTAGTTCAGTTCTAGTTCAGTTCTAGTTCAGTTCTAGTCAGTTCTAGTTCAGTTCTAGTTCAGTTCTAGTTCAGTTCTAGTTCAGTTCTAGTTCAGTTCTAGTTCAGTTCTAGTTCAGTTTTAGTTCAGTTCTGGTTCAGTTCTAGTTCAGTTCTAGTTCAGTTCTAGTTCAGTTCTAGTTCAGTTCTAGTTCAGTTCTAGTTCAGTTCTAGTTCAGTTCTAGTTCAGTTCTAGTTCAGTTCTAGTTCAGTTCTAGTTCAGTTCTAGTTCAGTTCTAGTTCAGTTCTAGTTCTAGTTCTGTTGTAGTTCTGTTCTCGTTCTGTCCTAGTTCAGTTCTAGTTCAGTTCTAGTTCAGTTCTAGTTCAGTTGTAATTCAGTTCTAGTTTAGTTCTAGTTCAGTTCTAATTCAGTTCTAGTTCAGTTCTAGTTCAGTTCTAGTTCTAGTTCAGTTCTAGTTCAGTTCTAGTTCAGTTCTAGTTCAGTTCTAGTTCAGTTCTAGTTCAGTTCTAGTTCAGTTCTAGTTCAGTTCTAGTTCAGTTCTAGTTCAGTTTTAGTTCAGTTCTGGTTCAGTTCTAGTTCAGTTCTAGTTCAGTTCTAGTTCAGTTCTAGTTCAGTTCTAGTTCAGTTCTAGTTCAGTTCTAGTTCAGTTCTAGTTCAGTTCTAGTTCAGTTCTAGTTCAGTTCTAGTTCAGTTCTAGTTCAGTTCTAGTTCAGTTCTAGTTCAGTTCTAGTTCAGTTCTAGTTCAGTTTTAGTTCAGTTCTGGTTCAGTTCTAGTTCAGTTCTAGTTCAGTTCTAGTTCAGTTCTAGTTCAGTTCTAGTTCAGTTCTAGTTCAGTTCTAGTTCAGTTCTAGTTCAGTTCTAGTTCAGTTCTAGTTCAGTTCTAGTTCAGTTCTAGTTCAGTTCTAGTTCAGTTCTAGTTCAGTTCTAGTTCAGTTCTAGTTCAGTTCTAGTTCAGTTCTAGTTCAGTTCTAGTTCAGTTTTAGTTCAGTTCTGGTTCAGTTCTAGTTCAGTTCTAGTTCAGTTCTAGTTCAGTTCTAGTTCAGTTCTAGTTCAGTTCTAGTTCAGTTCTAGTTCAGTTCTAGTTCAGTTCTAGTTCAGTTCTAGTTCAGTTCTAGTTCAGTTCTAGTTCAGTTCTAGTTCAGTTCTAGTTCAGTTCTAGTTCAGTTCTAGTTCAGTTCTAGTTCAGTTCTAGTTCAGTTCTAGTTCAGTTTTAGTTCAGTTCTGGTTCAGTTCTAGTTCAGTTCTAGTTCAGTTCTAGTTCAGTTCTAGTTCAGTTCTAGTTCAGTTCTAGTTCAGTTCTAGTTCAGTTCTAGTTCAGTTCTAGTTCAGTTCTAGTTCAGTTCTAGTTCAGTTCTAGTTCAGTTCTAGTTCAGTTCTAGTTCAGTTCTAGTTCAGTTCTAGTTCAGTTCTAGTTCAGTTCTAGTTCAGTTCTAGTTCAGTTCTAGTTCAGTTCTAGTTCAGTTCTAGTTCAGTTCTAGTTCAGTTCTAGTTCAGTTCTAGTTCAGTTCTAGTTCAGTTCTAGTTCAGTTCTAGTTCAGTTCTAGTTCAGTTCTAGTTCAGTTCTAGTTCAGTTCTAGTTCAGTTCTAGTTCAGTTCTAGTTCAGTTCTAGTTCAGTTTTAGTTCAGTTCTGGTTCAGTTCTAGTTCAGTTCTAGTTCAGTTCTAGTTCAGTTCTAGTTCAGTTCTAGTTCTAGTTCAGTTCTAGTTCAGTTCTAGTTCAGTTCTAGTTCAGTTCTAGTTCTAGTTCTAGTTCTGTTGTAGTTCTGTTCTCGTTCTGTCCTAGTTCAGTTCTAGTTCAGTTCTAGTTCAGTTCTAGTTCAGTTCTAGTTCAGTTCTAGTTCAGTTGTAATTCAGTTCTAGTTTAGTTCTAGTTCAGTTTGTATTTTTTGTTTGTATTTTTATTTATGACATATTAAATCGCCTTGAAAATACATCATTATACCCCCATACGTTCAATATTGACTATATATTGTGACATTTACTTAGTAGCCAACCTTGATATTGAGTCCTTGACCAACTGACATATTGTACTTTACCTAGTTTTCAAGTAATAATTGAAAAAATATTGCAGTATACACAAATAAACTAGATAAAGGAAATTTAGGACAGGGTCAACAGAGAACAATTTTCTAGAAATACTTTTTTTTTATTAAAACAAGATTTTTATTAAATTTTAAGATAATTTTTTTTATAAACATTACAAATAAAATTGTTATAATGATAAAGAATTTGTAATAATTTTTTTGAATTTTTCTTAAAATTTTAAGAAAAAAATATTGAAAACAAAACAACAAAAGTACCAAGTGCATCATCATACATAACTTACCTTGTCCTCCGTGACAATGATGCACTTACGTTAGGTCAAATATTACACTCGTAACCTAAATACGTTAAAAATACGAGAGATTTTTTTCCTACTCTCAAACTTGTGACTTGTGAAAAGAGAGTCAATTTTAGAAGAGAGTGTGAAAAACAGTGCATATAAAAAATGCATGCCTGCATGCATGCATCAATAAACTGTTTGTTATGTTTATTTCTTGTTGAGTTCTCTTGTTTTTCATTCGTATCGTTTCCTTCGTTTGCTGTAAAATGTAATGAAATGCCAACAACAATAACAACATTGTTGTAGTTACGAAGTTTAGTCGTTTAAAAACAAACATTGTGTTTTATTTTTTAAACGAACAAGCGGTCAAAGTCATCATGTGTTTGATTCGTTTATAAATAACACGAATGTATTTTGTTGTTGTTGTTGTTTTTGCTGTCTTTGCATATTTACTTTACATGAAGGACATTTTTCGCACTTGGGTAATCTTTTATAAATGGTAGCACGCACATTAAAAACACAGAAATGAATAAAATTGAAAAGCAAAAAAATATAAAAAATTATAAAAATTTATCTAAAGAAATTAAAATTTTAAATAATTTTATTTTTTACAACAACATTTATAAACAAACTTTTCAACGAAAGAAATTTAAGAAAATTTCCTTTAAAAAAGGGATTTGAAATGACAAATTTCATTTCTATCCAAATTTTCACCAACAATTAAAACAAAATCTTTAAAAAATTAATATTTATTAAAAAAACCTTTTAATAATTTTAATTATTTTTAAATAATCTATTATTTTTATATTACTTAAATATTTTTTTCTAAATAAAAAAAACTGCAATATTCAAAATGGGGTGGACGAACTATTACCTCCATTTTACTAGTTTGTTTTTATTTAATTTTATTTTATTTGTATGTTATTTTAAATAAACAGCAAAAATTTAATTTGTTTTTGTTGTTTTTTTAGAATTTTTTTTATTATTTTTTTTTTTAGTAGTCATTGCACTCTCATGCACATGTTGTTGCTTGGTTCGTTGGTTTAGTTCGGGTTCGTTCATTATTTATTTCGATTGTTTGTGTTGTTTGCAATTCATTAAAAAAAAACAGAGCAGTTAAAGAAGGAATTCTATGTCAACATAAAATCAGAAATATAGCAATAAAACCGTCTTACAAAATTATATAGTCCAGTCTATAGTTTAGTCTACTATCTGAAGTATAGCTCTGACTATGGACTAGTCTAGCCTACAGTGCAGACTATTGTCTAGTCTACAGTCCAGACCATAGTCTAATCTACAGTACATACTGTAGTGTAGATTTTAGTTTAGACTATAATCTAGTCTCTAGTCTAGTCTAGTCTATATTACAGTCTATTCTATAGCCTATATAGAATATATAGGCTAAACTATATAGACTATAGTTTAGTCTATAATCTGAACTATAGCTCTGACTATAGTCTAGTATACAGTGCAGACTATTGTCTAGCCTACAGTCCAGACTGTAGTCTAATCTACAGTACAGACTAGTGTAGATTTTAGTTTAGTTTATAATCTAGTCTTTAGATTATATAATCTAGTCTTTAGATTATAGACTAAACTAAAATCTACACTAGTCTGTACTGTAGATTAGACTACAGTCTGGACTGTAGGCTAGACAATAGTCTGTATT